TGTTCTCGAACATAAAATGACAGTGATGTCTCTAAGGTTAGCCAGAGACATATATACCATAAGCCTCAAGTACACGAGTGGACTTTGGGTTTACACTTAATTCTAGCACCAAACTAAGAACAATTAGTTCTTATGACATGGCCCAGCTCGATGCACACACGCATGAAGAGATCACTGAAAACATGGGTGCTATAGCAAAGTGTGGTGAGAGAACTAGATGGTGCCTGGCTATCCGAAAGCATCGGTCTTAAAGGCTCATTTTCAAACAAAGTCATCTAAGTGAGGTATCAACCAAGTCCACATGGAAGAAGCCCACCAGCCTGTGTGATCTAAGGGCTGCAAATAATATAATCCAAATCCTAAGGAGGGAATGGCATCACAGCTTAAACTGTGAACTCCTGGTTTGCAGAAGGCTATGGATGACAGTGGAAGCTCAAAATCCATTTACAGGGTCCACACATGGATTAAGCTTCCAGTAAATCCCCTCCAGTCATAGTTGAGGGATGTGAATAGCCCTGTTATCAGACAGCATTGTAAAGCTGATTATGGCAGCCATAGTTAGAGGTCAGAATGAAATATTTTATCTCCCATTTGACCCATTTTAAAGCTGTTGCAGGTGGAATTTAAAACAGAAGGAAAAATATATGTGAGTCAAGCTGCTGGCGAATCCCCTCTGACCATGGACCAGGGATGCTTCGGCTTGCTAACATGCAGGATGCATCAGAAAGTGGATTGTTGCAGATGCAGTTAGGTTGACATTTAGCATCCTGTCATTGGATCTCCCTTACGATCCATTTAAATTTGTTCTAGTTTTTAATATTTTCTGCTTTCCAATGGATATTTTTATCAGTTTTACTTTATTCTTGTTTTTTTAAAATGTTATTCTGTATATGAAATCCAGGATGAGTAAATCTATAGAGGCAGTAACTGGTTAATGGTTCCTTGGGGGTATGGCAGGGGAGATTGGGGGGAAGTGGGGAGCTAATATCAATGAGTACAAGAATGAAGAAAATGTTCTAGAACTGATTGTGGTGATGATGTGACTGAACTATTGAATTGTATGATATGTGAATTATATGCTAAAAAACTTAATTTTCATGGACTCCAGACTTTCTGAAGTCATGGAAGTTGGATGAACCCCTGAAACAACTGCCCTGAGATAATCTTTATTTATTTTATTATTATTATTATCATTTTAGATAATCTGTAAATGCTAAACCAAAAAATATTCCCTGGAATCTTCTTAACGTCAGGCAGTGGTTTAGTTTAACCAGTAGAGAAAGTTTGCCTTGGGCTTTATGATCTTTTAAGAACTATCTATACAGGATCAAGTTGACTACAGCAAATTGAAAGATTAGGTAAGGAACATTAGGGGACATTGAATTCATGCTAATGGGAGAGGTCAACTCAGACACAGAGGATGTGAATGGTTGCACAACTTTAAGGAAGGATACAGTCAATGTCATTCAATTGCTTATGTAGAAGTGGTTGTGTTGAACGGGTGTATGTTTTGCTGTTATGTATTCTTAACAAGAAAATAAATAACACTTGTTAAAAATGAAAAACAGAAAAGCTTCAGGCTTACAGAAAATAATACCACACAACTGGGATTGAGCAGCGTGCTTTGTTGCTTTTGCTTAGAATTCATTGAGCTGCTCTGATGTGTAGGTTCATGCCCTTCATGAAGTGTGGGAAGCTTTTGATCATTACGTCATCAAATAGGTTTGCTCTGCCCCATCTCTCTCCTGCCCCTGGAACGCCTGTAATGCCTGGGTTCCCTTTACGGTGTGGAACACATGTTCTTTAGGCTCTGTTCACCTTTCTTCATCTCCCCCCTCCCCTAAACTTTCTGTTCTTTTGCCCAGACGACTACATAATTTCAGGTGTTTATCTTCAAGTTCATTGATTTTCCTGTATCTTCCAATCTGCTATGAAACTCTTGTAATTTTCTGGTTTCAATTTTCTGTATTTTTGAGCTCTAAAATTTGTCTCCTCTTTAGAACTTCTCTTTATGGATATTCTCATGGTTTTCTTGGCTTCCTTAGTTCTTTGTGGGTTTTTGTTGTTGTGGTTGAAAATTGGGTTTTTGAATATTACCATACGGTAACCCTAGGAACCAGATGTGGTGTCCAGCACTCAGGCCCTGCACTCACTGGACAGACACGGGCTCATCACAGTTGGATGCGCGCACACAGACATGGGCTAGGAGCTTGTCTATGGCTTTGAAGCTTTGCAAATCCCACGGGCCCATGCCCGGCCATCGCAGTGGAGAGCGGTCCTCAGCACCTCTGGCAAGACAGTGCTGACGCCCACTCCACCTCCAGCAATGGCTTTAGGGGTGGGTTAAGGGCGGGGCCAAATCTTGACGGCATCTGAGCTTTCCTACTGTTTTTCTTTTTCCTACTGTGTTTTAAGCTGTGTTTTTCTTCATTAGTATTTGCTGGGTTGCTGGTAATGGAACTTTTCCAGGTTAGAGTAATCACTAATAACAAAGCACTTTTGCCATTTAATTAAATTTTTATATATGTCTCAAATGGGTTCCCCCTGCCCCAACATTATTGCTTTCTGAAATGTTTAGTGTATGTTTTTCTTCTTTTCTTCTATCCTTTCCTATTTTTCCTAGTGGTTACCTGGAGATCATCATTGACATCTTAAACTTACAGCCTGAAGAATACCGAGAATACCAACTTAGTCAACGATATTCAATTCTGATTTTCTGGTGTTCTTTTCAATATTTCGATGGAGGGATGGGAACTTGGAGCTGGCCACCCTGTTTGTTGTTGTTGCTGACCAAAGACATGGATTTTGTGTCTAAGTTTTTAACTATATAATGAATACTGCATGCACCATACACACAACACATACACGTTGCCAAAATGCCCCCAGAGTAGTTGTACTGAAGTGGGTTTCTAAAGTTTCTAAAGTACTCTTATCCACTTAAAGTGGATAAGAGTTCCTGTTTCCTCATAGCTTCACCATCATTTTATATTGTCTGGAAATTTTTACTTTTTGCTAGTCGGATCCCTGGAAGGTCCGCAGTTTGAAACCACCAGCTGCTCCACAGGAAAAAGAGGCGGCAGTTTGGAACCCACAGGGACATGTTCTGCCCCGTCCTACAGGCTCACTGTGCGTCAGAATGACTGAAAGGCCCTGAGTTTGGGGATGGGTGGTATCTCACTGTCGCCTTCATTTGCATTTCTCTAGCCAATGGTGATGCTGAGTGTCCTATGGGGACTGGTCACCTGTGCATGCTTGGGAGGGTCTCTCAGACTGGAAGCATAAAAGGGAAGCTGGCCCTGGAGCCCACAGTGAGCAGGAATGGCTGACTCCTCTCTGGGTCCCTAGCAGCTACAATATCACTGCCCAGGCCTTCCACGAGAGATGCGCCTGCTGGCCTCCAGCAGGGCTTTCCGTTAACCAGCGTATTCATTCAGCTGGTCTTTGGTGACTGCTTGCGCTGAGTCATCCCTCTATGAAAGGAGGGTTGCTTCGGAGAAGAGCAGCCCAGGTGCAGGGTGGAGGAAAGAAAAGGAGCATCGCTTAGTGAGTGGTGACCTAGTGTCCGTATTTTCTTCAGGGGTCACCTGAGGTGCTCCGTTAGTGCTATAGTTTTAGGGTTGTGGACCCTGGCAAGGTCACTGGCCCCAGGCCCTTGGGAATAATCCCAATCTCTTTCCCTGGCAGATAAATTAACTGGCACCTGGGCAGCTGGAACCTGAGAAAAACCCCAAAGCAGGCAGAATAATTAAAATGAGATCACCCTGAAACCAGCTGCCATCGAGCCAATTCCAACAAGTAGTGGCGCTGTCGGGCAGAGCAGAACAGCTCCTTCAGGTCTAAGAAGAAGACGGTACAGCTTTACAGGAGCAGACAGCTTCATCTTTCGCCCACAGTGCGGTTGGTGGGTCTTAACTGCCGACCTTGTGGCTAGCAGCCCAGTGCTTAACCCACTCCATCACCGGGACTCTGTAGATCCTCCTTACATAGGAAAATATTTATTGGGATGCTGAGATTCACTTCAAAATAGTACAGAGGCGGGGGCAGATGGAGTAGGACTGGCTGGTCATTGTGGAAGCAGATGAAAAGCTTAAGAAGGCTCATTAAATTGCCCTCTATTGTTACACACGCTGAAAGTTTTAGACATAAAAAAGTTAAAAGAACAAAACACAAAAAACCCTCAATCCTTTTTCTTTTATTGCATATCTCTTCTAGGGAAAGGGAACAGCCGTTCCCACATCCACACCTTTACCAGCAACACAGCCCTCTCTCCTCCCTCTTGCTCCTTTCATGCACCCAAACCTCCAGGCCTGCACCTCCCACTTCTGTTCCCCCTCTGGAGGCTGTGACCGTTGACGGGTGGGGAAGCTTTCCCTTCATGGAGACCTGCCTGCTCCCTGGCAGCTACGGCCCCTCCAAGAGCTCCCCAGTGTTGACGCTCAGCTCCTGCTCCTCCAAACCATGGCCAGCCAGAGTGTCCCCCTCCCTGTCCTCCACCCTCAGCCCTGCCACAAGGAGCCTGGGGTGCAGGCCTCTGTGTGATGTGTCTGGCACAGCCAGCTCTGGCATGGAGGGACAGTTCTAGAGATTCCTCTAGTTTGTGGGACCAGTGCTGGGTGAGCTGGGTTCTGTGTAATACTCATCCCTGCAGGCAAGTGATGGAGTAGACCAGAAAAAGTGGGGAGACCCACCATATAAGGCTCTTAGTGACACAGCCAGGCAAATCTGAAGGATGGGTTCACACCGATTGAGCCCCGGGACCCCAAGCACCATGGGCCACTTGGCACGTCCGAAGCCCCACGCATGAACTGAGTGAGTCGCCTGACCAAACCCACTCCACTCTGTAGGGACCAAAGGTCTCTGCAGGTGCTGGTCTGTTCCAGAGAGGAAACAGATCCAAGTCTGCGGGGCTATGTGGCTGAGAAGCCAGGCTGATGTGACCCAGGCAGCAGACCCACACACCGTCCCCAAGGGGCGGGGCCTGCCCACAGGCCTCTCAGTACCTCTGCGTCAAACTTCTCGTTGATGGAGGGCTCAGTGGTGACCAGTTTCATCCTGCTGGCGAAGCGCAGAGAAGATAGCTGAAAACAGATCAGATGGACATTTGTCAGCTCTCCGCCATCCCAAACCTTGGCAAATTCCTTCAGGATACGCCCACTCCACCCCCTCTCTTTATGTTCAGAATTGGGCCGAGACCCTGCACTGTGAGCACACAGACTTCTGGGGGGCAGCAGGTGCCAAGAGATCTGCTTGTGCTGTGACTATCTGGGGGTGGAGGGGGGGGCGGTGGCGGCAGGGGAGTCCTTAAGGAGGAAAGAGAGGCTTTCCACCGGTCTTAGACGACATACTTCTCCTTAAGAAGGCAGCCAAGGGGTCCCGAGTTTCTTATGGCCCCTCTTGGGGTTCAAGGGTGCTTTGTTATCAGTGAACCTTTCCTCCAGGGATGCTGCCTGCACGTCAGCCACAGCTCCCCTCCAGGACCGCCCAAATCCCGGGCGACTGGGTGTATGTCAGCAGCGCTCCCCCTGGAAGCTGGGACATCCCTAAGGCCCACAGCTGGGAGGCCCTGTAGGCGAGTCTCGCCCTGCAGCATTCCTGGAAATGATTCCTTCGGTGTCAGTAGATTCCTCAGAGGACGGAGAAGTGCTCTCCACACCCACACTGGCAACGTTAACATTTCCAAGGGGAACTTGCCAGACTCTCTCCTATGTGGGGTGGGACGCAGCTCCCTTGGGGCCTCAGCACAGTCCTAGGTCTGACACCCTCCCCAGGCCACAACTCTAGACCCAGCCCTCCCTTACTCAGGCCCTGGGACAGCCCCAGCTCCCTGTCCCACCCCTGCCCCCCAGGAGGAGTCCATCCAGCCTCTGCTGTGTCTGCTCTTTGCCGGTTCCCTTCTGGACCCCTCCTCTGCAGGGGGCTGG